TCAAATGGACGCTCACTTTTAACCCCCCCCCCCCCCCCCCCACCTTTTTGAGCAACATTTCTTAACCAAAGAAAATCCGTCAGTCCCACAGATTTATTTTTAACCCTATCCGTACGCCTAGGTTCATTTTGTATCCCCGGTGTTGTATTCTCCACATTTTAGAATACTTCTAGTGCGAAGATCTCTCTGAAACTTTCAGTATTTCTCAAAAAAATCATTTTGACAGACTACTATGCAAAGCGTACGGATAGGATTAATGAGTAAATTTCCTTTACGGAAAGTGGTGGCGCAGAGTTCCCCACATTGTATGGATACGATAGTAAAACACGATGTACGGATAGGGTTAAGTGGAGTCTACTGTATAACATGGCGTCGATGGTCTAATGATCAGGCTCTCAGACTCTTAACCATAAGGTTGTGGGTTCAAACCCCATCAGGCACCCGACCTGTCCTTGGGAAAAGCACTTTACCAAATTTTCCTCTCTGCACCCAGTGAGCACTCATCATCCCCCCCACCTCCTTCCCCCCACTCACCTGACGAGGACAAAGCAGCCCCTGTTACTTGCGGCCCAGCTTTTGATGGTGGACTTGGGCAGGCTCTCTAGCAGCACGGCAGAGAACAGAACTGGGGAACACACCACGCACGAAAAGAGAACAGTTAAACCCTGGCATGAGGAAGCAATTTATCACACACTCACACAAAAACAAGTTTCGCTTTAGTAAAATTTGTGTACTTTGACGGCTCTTGCAACTAAAATAGGCCCCATAAGTTGAGAAGATTACAGGTGATACTAGAAAGTAACGTACAAAGAAAAGAAGGAGAAGAGATAAGGATGATAAATGTTTGATAGGAAAGAAGGAGCACACCACATCAAAGCACACGCCAAAATGCCATCAAATCAATCTGAAAACTGCTTAAAACAGAATTCACATATATAAATATATATATATATAATACTGAGAATATAGCTACGATATAAACCATCACTGGTCACTGCATTCACACACCAAACAACCACGGCAGGAAATGACATCACCAGACTTACTGCCTTCGCCGGCTTCCATCCGGATCCTGTCGTTGGCGATGATTTTCTTCAAGGCCATGTGGCAGGCGGTGTGCTCCACCATCGCTATGGCTCCGTCTGCGCCGCTTGCTGGCTGGGCCACAAAGTCTGCGATGGATCGCATGGCTGGGACGACGTCACCTGGATGGGGGGGGGGGGGGGGGGGGGGGGGGGGGGAAAAAAACCCAAAAAAAAAAATCCTTTGAAAAAACCCCGGGTTTTTGTGGGGGTTTTTTTTTTTTTAAACCCGGGGCCCCCCTCCAAAATTTTTTTAAAAAGGGGGGAATTTTTTGTTTGACCCAAAAAAAAAAATTTAAAGAAGGAAGAAGTTGCAGAAATGGATGATCTAACCCTTTTTTTTTTTATTCCCCTCAGGGTGGGGGAGGAGGTCCAGAACAACATCCTTGTCAATACACGCTGGCTTTTTGGGGGGTTTTTTTTTTGTATAATCATGGGTCTCAGTTCAGAATTATTTTAGAAATGGGGGAACTTTCTGTGTGATCGCAACAGAAGACCATTTTTGGCCAAATTTTAGCTGACATCATATTTTGTGAACAGTCCCTTCCCTTACATACTATTTATATACATTGTATCGTGTAAAGCGCATAGAGCCTGCTGTTGAGCGGGGATATGCGCTATACAAATGCTATCTATTATTATTATTATTATTATCGCCGTTTCTCTGCTATTTTTCCCTCTTTGTTGTGTTTTAATTTGCTGGGTGTTAATTTTTTTCTTGTTGTTGTTCAGATGTGTTTTCTATTTTTTCGTGTTTATATCAGCAGAATGTCATTTAACGTGATGCTGTTCCTACCATTTTTGTAAAAAATATAAATGTGTTATGTAAGAGCGTGTCACCACCAAAACCGAATACACGTAACTGACACTTGCAGGCCTCTGGTATGTGTGAGATCCCATAATTTACATAATATCCTGTAGACCTATTTTTTCATGAATTATACACGTTTAGAGTTAAAAAGACCAATCTTCGGATAGGTTGACACACATCCTGTTAATTTTTGGAGCTGGTTATGTGCTGTTCTAATTTTGATTTCATCCTGTTGTGAAACCTTTCTTTTTCATGTCTTTACACTCTGGCTACAAATAATATTCTGGATGCTTAAAAAGAGCACAAGAAATTCTGGTGCTTTAGATTAAGTTACCTCTATCAACATATTGCTATACATTGTATCTATACATCGGCACGGAGAGTTGAAAGGTTGAAAATTATTGACAACTTTTGGAGAAAAAAAAATGGAAATAAATGCAGATGGTAGATAAAAGAGGTTAAGCCACAACAAAAAAAATCGAAAAAATTTCCAAACTGGCGGAAAAATGCCTATTTCTCAGATTTCGTTATTTTGACGAGTGCCTGATTTCATCATGCTGCCTCACATATTATGTACCTGACCGTATAAGGAGAGAGTACGTAGAAGGAGAGAGTACGTATAAGGAGAGAGTACGTAGAAGGAGAAAGTACGTATAAGGAGAGAGTACGTATAAGGAGAGAGTACGTAACTAAGAGTGCCACACAAAGACTCTGTCTCTACCTGAAGTATAGTTGATGTAGCCTAAGATCATCAAACTCCCTCCCTCTCTCTTTCTCTCTACCTGAAGTATAGTTGATGTAGCCTAAGATCATCAAACTCTCTCCCTCCCTCCCTCTCTCTTTCTCTCTACCTGAAGTATAGTTGATGTAGCCTAAGATCATCAAACTCTCTCCCTCCCTCCCTCTCTCTTTCTCTCTACCTGAAGCGTAGTTGATGATGTCTACAATATTCAACAAACACATACACCCCCACCCCCCCCCCCCCACTTTCTCTCTTTTTCCGTCCCTGTGTCTCCCTACCTGAAGCGTAGTTGATGATATCCTTCACCAGGAGCGCCATGTTGCTGTTTTTCATCATATCTCCGACGTTCTCGGCCAGGTACTTGAGCAGGTGCTGAGACACGTGGCCACGGAGTTCTTTACCCCTCGTCACGCGGTCTTTCTTACTGTGGACAACAACAACGATGATGCAACAGTTAGTTTGGTATTCGTAAGAGTTTTACGGCACTTGCAACACAATAAGGCCACAGAAGTGCCGGAGATTAGAGGTGTTACAAAGAGAGTTACAAACACACCAAAAAACCAAAAAAAGGAAAGAAACTGGTGATAGATGTTTGATAGGAAAGAAGAAGCAAACCACACTAGAGCACCCGCCAACCACCCACTTTTACTGTGGGAAAACAGCAATGAGGCACCAAGGAACATAATCTTTTTTTAAAAAGTTGAAACGTGGGTGTATTGACGCCCCTATCAATATGATAGCACAAGGAGCACGAGGCAGGGGTAGGCCACGGGAAACATGGAGGAGATGCGTGGAAAGGGACATGAGAGAGATGAAGCTCACTTGGAACGAGCTTGGAAGGACGGTTCAGGACAGAGATAAATGTAGGAGCTTGAATGTGGCCTATACCCTGCCAGGGGTGAAAGGCATTGATGATGATGATCAATATGATTTAGATCATTTAGGAGGCGGGCTTCCGACCTTGCCTGTCAGGGCCGACCAGGACAGAGAGGGATACGACGTCCCAGAAGAAAGACTGAGACACTCGATACAAATGTTCCCCTACTCGGCAATCGACATGGCCAAATTAAACCTGGCAAAGGACAAAGAGAGCAGCAGTGCCAACTTTCACTGCTGCAAATAAGACCATAAAAAAATAAAACAAACAAACAAAAGAACGCACTTCCCTTCAGCACAACGAGCGCTCACCTGGTGGGGTTGTCATCTCCCTGCTGCAGTACCTTCACCACATCCGGGTGGCAGTGGACGCGGTCCCGCGGGTTCAGCAGGTACACCAGAACCTTCCGCCCGTGCTGGTTCTGTGCGACGTCACCCAGCGACTTGACCAGCTCCTGAGGGGGGGTGGGGTGGGGTGGAACCAAGGTCACAGAAATTGTTGCTTTTTTTTGTTGTAGAGGTTTTACGGCAAAATCTCGGCTATTTCAGAAATTTATCCGGATTTCCCGATTTATCTGACCAAAAAATCAGCACCTCCAAATATGACCAAAGTTCAGCCACAAAGCTGCAAACTTTTCAACCCCTCCCCAAAAAAACCAACAACCCAGACTCTATCCACAAGGAGGGTTAAGTATACCCCCTTCCAAACTCTTCACACACATTTTCTCTGCATTCAATTCATGCGCACTTAACTACGGCAAGAGACAAAATTAAAATAAACTTATACATGGGCTTCATCCTCATTATTATTCGCAAACCCAGTATTGAAAGTTCATAACTTTTCATCAGCATCAGCAAATCTAAGAGGAGCAGTCCTAGAAAACAAAGAACAGGCCTACGTTATTTTCTCAAACAAAAACAGGCTTCTTTACTCTCAAAGTCGTACTTTTTCCACACTGCATGACCCTAGTGCAGACCTGCCACTCTATGAAACCTCAAAATCAGGATCTCATGGAGAAAAAATCGGGATGAGTGGCAGGTCTGCCTAGTGCTTCCTTGTCGTATCTCCATTTTTAGTAACAGTAACATTCAAAACAGTTCATAACAAAGAGTGAGCTTAAGAAGAAGTCACATTTTCACGGTTAAAAAAACCCACAAAAAAACAACGGAGATACAACAAGAAAGCACCGAGGGAGGTCGCGACTGGCTGGCAGCCCAGCATGCCGTTGTGTGCCATCTACTCACGTCGAGAATAACTTTCTGCACCAGCACGGTGTCGTCCACGCAGTCGAAGATGGCCAGCAGCAGGAGATGTCCGTGTTCCTCCTGGCAAATCTTCACCACGTGGCCCTTCAGGCTCTTCACGATCGACTTCCGATCCTTGACCGACCCCGACCAGACGCAGTGCATGGCGACCCGCGTCCCGTCGCGCGTGTGGAGGAGGTGGGGAAGACTTTCCCTCAGACCCTCAATCATTTCCTGAATAGGAAAACGTTTTAAAAATCAATCCAAAGGGAAAAAAAAAAATGACAGTCAAATTTCATTTTAAAAATTGTTTTAGTGGTTCCTTTTACAGCACTTGTAACACTAAGGTAATTTAAGTGCTGAAGATTAGAGGTGCCACAAGAGAGTAACAAACATAAAAAGGAAGGAGAGATCAGGACGATAGATGTTTTGACAGGAAAGAAGGAGCAAACCACACCAGAGCACCCTTTATTTAAATTGTATGATTTGTACTGAGGAAAAAAACGTGGAAATTGTCTAAGATGCTCATTGTCAGGGAGAAAGTGGTTATCTTACAGTGTTATTATGTTTAAAAAGGACAAAGGGGTGGGGGGTTGAGTGTGTGTGTGTGAGAAGTAGCCGTTTGTACAGGTGATCGTCTTATACAGGTGGCCGTTGGAGCAGGTGTAACTGTAGTGAACATTTGAATGTTTTGGACAATGTACCGAATTTGCACATTTTTCGAAATTAGCGAACCTAATCAAACTTTAATTTTCAAAATATTTGTTCATTTGTTCATTGTTATATGTTGTTATCTAAACCTCATGACAAAGATACTACATCACATTTCAGAGGGCGCACCTATTTTTCTTTGTTTGTTTGTTTTTGTAAAGTGTTTTACGGCGCTCGCAACTGCATAAGGTCATATGAGCGCACGGGACACACCTAATATTTTCAGTTGATAGGAAATTTTTGAATTTTGCCCGGGTGGCGGCCGAAGCCTACTCTTATCGATTTTAGACCACCAAGGGATCTTTAACGAGCGCAACTTGCACACGGGCCCTCCGAGATTTTTCGCCCTTGTCCGAGAAGGCTAGGTGTAGATCTTTCCTACCAGAAGATCAGGGGTGTGGCAGAAAGACAGCAGTAAGGAGGAGCCAAGGAGTAGCAGTAGAAAGGCTGCAGAAAGAATCAGGAGCCCAGAGGAAGGGGCAAAGGATTTGAGGGGGTGGTGCAGAAAAAGGAGACGAAAGCAGATGACAGGACATTGTTAGAGAGCAGGAAATGAGGTGAAAGGAGACAAATTTAGAGAAGAAAATTTTTCTGTCGCTACCCGGATTCGAACCCGGAACCTTTTGAATGAGAGGCCAACACCGTAACCTCTAGGCCACGAGAGCCCCCCCCCCCCCTTTTTTTTTCCTGAAATACTGCTACATTGGCTGGGACTGGGGTTAGGGAATGCACAAAAACAGCTGGGGCTGGAAGGATTATAAAAAACAGATGCTTTTACGCTCCCACCTACATAAGCTAAGATTTCGTGTAGGAGGCAGGCTTCCGACCCTGTCTGTCAGGGCCAGCTCTTTTCTTTGTTAATCAACAGCCAAACTTCAACTCGCTAAAGATAGAAAGTTAAAACAAAAAATGAACAGTAGAGCAAAATAATTCTGCGAAGCAAAGCGAACAACGTTACCTTTTTCGACTTGTCGTCGGCGTACAAAAAGAAGTCAAAGAAGACCTTGTGCACCAGGGAATGAATCAAGATTTCCCTGAGGAGCGCAGAAAGAAGAAAATTGACGATCAAACATAACACGATATTTATATTATTCATTTCACACAAATAAAAAATGTTACTCTTTTAGTTTCAGTTGCAGTAAGAGATTTATAGCACTAGCAAGACAAATAGGTATAAATGGTGAAGAGTAGAGGTGTTATGAGAGAGTAATGTGGAATGAAAGGAAGGAGGAGGAGAGATAAGGACAAAAGTTATTTGATAGGAAAGAAGGAGCAAACCACACCAAAGCACTGAAAAGAGTCGCAAATAAAAAAACATGAACGCAAACACAAACACACACTCATTGATACAAATAAAAATGTGCATGTTCATGTCATTTACAATAAGGCCCAGAAATAGTGCACATAAATAAGTGTACGTTCAAGTCATTTAGGATACCGCATGACAAGACAGAAATACAATTCAAGTTTTTTTTTAAACACAACCCCCCCCTCCTCCTCCTCCACCCCCCCCCAGAATTTATGAAAATTCTGATCAGGTTTCTCCAGCAGGCCAAAAAAAAATATTTAAAAATAATTTTAAAATCTAAAATTCGAAGAGCTCTGGCTTTGATCTGTGTACTTGTCAGGCTAGCTTACTTGTCCACGAGCGGCGCCAAGGCTTCCTTCATGCTGCGGATCACCATGTTCTTTTTCTCCGGCTGGTCCTGCATGATCTGCTCCAGGGACTGGTGGACTTGGTCCTGAGGGGAGGGGAAACAAAACAACAACATTCTCAGTTTTAGTTAGAATTTTACAGCACTTGCAACACAATAAGGTCATACAAGTGCCGAAGATTAGAGAGTTTAGTTTAGTTTTAGTAAGAGTTTTACGGCACTCGCAACTGCATAAGGTCATATGAGCGCCAGAAGATTAGAGGTGTTACATCAGAGTAACAAATACAAAAAAGGAGGAGGGGAGAAAAGGACGATAGTTGTTCAATAGGAAAGAAGGAGCAAAACCACACCAGAGCACCCGCCAACCACAACAGCACTTACTTTAAACAAGGAAAACACAACAGCACAACTTTTCAACCAAGAAAACACAACTTTTAAACTAAGAAAACACAACTTTTAAACTAAGAAAACACAACTTTTCAACCAAGAAAACACAACCTCACTTACTTTAAACAAAGAAAACGTTGGGCCGTAAAACTCTTCAAGTATGGCCAGTCTCTGCGGAGCTGTGGCGTACTCGTTGAAGGCGTACTCCAGAATGTCGGACGCTTCCTGCGAGGACGACGGGAGAAAATAGGAGAGGTTTGTTTTTTTTTAGTAAAAGTTTTACGGCACTTGCAACACAATAAGGTCATATAAGTGCCAAAGACTAGAGGTTTTACAAGAAGAGAGTAACAAACATAAAACAGAAGGAGGAGAGGTAAGGACTCTGATCGCAAAGTCCGCATTTTTTCGAAGAGGGTACCACCGAATTTTGAGGACACTTTTTTAATTGGCTCAAAGAGAGGAGTGAACGATGTTTTCTTAGTTTTAGTAAGAGTTTTACGGCACTTGCAACACAATAAGGTCATGTAAGTGCCGAAGAGAGTAACAAGAGAGTAACAAACACAAAAAAGAAGGAGGGGAGATAAAGACGATAGATGTCTGACAGGAAAGAAGAAGCACACCACACCAGAGCACCCGCCAACCACCCACTAGTGAACTATCTTGTTACGTACGACCTTTGGTAATACACAACACTATGACAAGATGCGACAACACTCGACCCGTCAGAGACAGAAGCCTACAATACCTTGTGTCGGATCATCTTTCTCACTTGTCCCTGGAAGGAGTTCATCACTTCGCCACGCAGAGTTTTGGAGCTGACGATGGAAACGAAGTTTATAAGTCTGTCCCCGTGGTTTTATGCACCCCGCATAATTTAGCAAAATTTGATAATTATTTGCATAATTTCTGATTTTTTTCCTTTATCATTCTTTGTTAAAGTAAACAGAATCGCATAATTTCCCATTTTTGGGCTCAGTTTGCATAATTTCAGAATTTTTCTTGACGGGGACAGACAAGCACACGTCCAAACTGTCTGACTGGGACGGCCACAACCCATTGTCGAGGAGAGATGTGGATGTCTTAGACAGGAGTCATTACAAAGTTATATAAAAACACATGGAGAAATTGGAAGTTTTAAAAAAGTTTTAGGAAGGTTTTACTGCGCTCGCAACTGCTTAAGGTCATATGAGTGCCGAGGGGTGGATGTCAACAGAGAAGTCCAAACGAGGAATCAAGCTTACTCTGCTCACCTCTCTAGCCTCAACAGCACAAAGTCTGCTTCGACTATCAAGGCACCCCGGCAATAGCAGTTCACAAGAGAGTGAAAACATACAAAAGAAGTAGAGGACAAATGACGATAGTAAGGATGAGGAAAGAAAAAGCAGCAGTTCCCTGTTGTAGATCAGGCACAGTTATGAGCGTGACATGAGTCAGCCCATTTACAATTCTACTGTCCTTGAACGAGATATGTCCCCCCCCCCCCCCTTTGGGAATGGCCTAAAGACACTTCAGTCAGTAGCACCGCCCCGGGGGGAGTCGATAAGCTTGAAAGATGACCCAAGACAATTGCATCTATTATATTTGTATATGAAATATGTGTGTACTGCTATGTTTACAATGTATGTGCTTGTTCTTCTACTTATAAAAAATTATTTTTTTCAAAATAAGGATGACAACAATAAAAATGGGTAAAAAAAAACAGAAAAAAACACACGTCTATTTAAAAAAGCTGTAGCAATTTTCCAAAGATCATCACTTACCCATAATGAATCAACTTCCGCACAACATATTTGGCATACTTCAGTCGGCACATATCACAGATTTCATCTGTCGACACACACAAAGAATTGTTTTACATTAAATATTTTTCCATCGCAGAACGAAGAATCAAACATACAAATTATCCTAAAAAACATCAATGTCATCAAAGCAGGCGCATACAAAAACTGATCTGCAAGCTCAGGTGCCTCAACGTTTTTTTTTACATGAACACCTTAATACAACAAATTCTGCTGTTTTTTCCTTTCGACAACAGGAAACTTCAGACAGATTCCAATAACATAATTTTTTTTAAAGACGACCCATAGAATTTCATTCTACCCCCAATCTTTAAAAAAAAATAAAAAACTTGTTTAGTTTTAGTAAAGATTTAACAGCACTTGTAACACAAATAGGCAATGTGGGGGCTGAAGATTAGAGGAGTTACTACAGAGTAACATACAAAGAAAAGGAGGAGAGATAGATGTTTGATGGGAAAGATGTAGGAGAGAAAAGGATGATAGATGTTTGATGGGAAAGAAGGAGAGATAAGAATGATAAATGTTTGACAGGGAAGAAGGAGGAGAGATAAGGACAATAGATGTTTGACAGGAAAGAAGGAGAGATAAGGACAATAGATGTTTGACATGAAAGAAGGAGAGATAAGGAAAGAAGGAGCAAACCACACCAGAGCACCCGCCAACCACCCACACCCGTACCTCTGATTTCTTCGTAGATGGTCGCTCTCTGCTGCTCTGTGCCGTACTGAACCAAGCACTGAACGATGCGGGCCGAGTCGTGGGCTTTGCACAACTGGGGAACACGAAACCAGACTATCAATGTCATATATCTTTACTGCATGGGACAATAAACAGTTTTAGTAAGAATTTTATGGCACTTGCAACACAATAAGGTCATATAACTGCCGAAGATTAGAGGTGTTACAAGAGAGTAACAAACACAAAAAAAGAAGGAGGGGATATAAGGACGATAGATGTTTGATAGGAAAGAAGGAGCACACCACACCAGAGCACCCGCCAACCACCCACCCACTCACACCTTTTCTTGCCTTAGAAATAAGTTCAAAATTATGAAAGATTTACTATGTGGAAAAGAAATCAAGGAACGCCTAAACGCCTACCTGTTTCACTTTTCCCGTCACCATACGCATCAAATCATCACAAATCTTTTTCCGTTTCACTTCTGGCAAATCTGCCCTGTGGGATGAAAAAAAAAATGAAATAAAACAATTACAAGGCAGCCATCAGAGATTTTCATTCCAGGTTTTATGAAATATAAAGATAGACAAGACAAGATAAAACAAGATGAACTTAATCGATCCACAGGGGATATCTTGTAGGCATACCAGAACATTAACTCATCCAGCCCTACGCCGACAATATCGGTACGCACTCGCAATGCCACACCACAGAAGTGGGGAACATTCGTGTAAAGTGCCTTTCCCAAGGACACAACGTCGGGCCCGCGGCTCGAACCCCCGAACCCCAACCTTACAATTACTAGTCCGGTAGCCTAACCACTAGGCCACAGACACCATATAATCAATCAAAGGTCTTACTACAGAATAACATAACGTACAAAGAAAAAGAGAAGGAGAGGTAAGGACAATACGTGTTTTTTTTAGTTATAGTAAGAGTTTTACGGCACTTGCAACACAATAAGGTCATATAAGTGCCGAATATTAGAGGTGTTACAAGAGAGTAACAAACACAAAAAAAGGAGGAGAGATAAGGATGATAGATGTATGATAGGAAAGAAGAAGCAAACCACACCAGAGCACCCGCCAACCACCCAGCAACAAGGTGAACGACCTTGACCCAACACCCACCACCAGCAACAAATTGACCCAACACCCACCACCAGCAATAAATTGACCCACTACCAGCAATAAATTGACCCAACACCCACCACCAGCAATAAATTGACCCAACACCCACCACCAGCAATAAATTGACCCACCACAGGCAATAAATTGACCCACCACCAGTTATAAATTGACCCAACACCCACCACCAGCAATAAATTGACCCACCACAGGCAATAAATTGACCCACCACCAGCAATAAATTGACCCAACAAGGCGAACTTCCCTCCAACTCTCTAGGAACAAATACAAACATGGAGGAAAGAATCAAGAAAAAAATCTTGCCTGCGTAAATCTTCCCAAACTTTCTTCGCCTCTGTAATGACATCAAAGTTGTTTTTCATCATCTTCCGCTGTTTCTTCTTCTCTTTCCACGTCTTGGTCGGCGTCTCGGGTACTGAAAACAACAAACAGCAAAACAAAAACAAAACATTTGAAAAAAAACATAAAGAAAAAAATTTTCGTGCGGAAAAAGTTGTAGTGGAATAATCTTCAGAATGAAATGAGTCCACATATTGGCAAATGGAGACGAAAAGAAGGATAACTTTTTTTTAAAAAAGAATGAAAAGAAAAAGGTGTCCAGGTGCACAAAACATGATAAAACAACCCCAGTTCTGCCACCTTTTGTAAATGTCTTCATGAAAGAGGAAAGAAGTCTATGATGTCTTTGCGGAGAAAAAGTAAGCGGTGAAAGAAATACTGAACTAACATAGAACTGCCCACAATACCAGTGGACGTAATGGAGAAAAAGTATTCAATAATATACAGAGGAAAGAAATCTATGTTCTAGGGTAAGCATTAGGGGGGGGGGGGGGGGGGGGGCGCTAACACAGACATCCAGAGAAAGAAAAAAACAAAAAAACAACAACCCCGCATTAACCCTCTAAAGAACGTAAGATATGGCAAACCAGATCCATCTTTATTAAGGAATAATACCCTTCTCTACCAACGTGGCTCTAAGTTAACTGAATGCCCTTCATCACTTCGTCATGTCTCCAACTAATTACGGGCGTACCGGTCGTCTCGTCGGGAAGAGCATCAAACTTCTTGTTGACCAGCTTCTTGGCTTTGTCCGTCTCTGCTGGCGTCTTCAGAGACTTCAGCTTCTTTGAGGCTTGCTTGAACGGAATCTGAAAAATGTGAACATTGTACAGCTTTAACACTCTATACAACACCGTTAGGTTAATTATATAAGAGGCGGGATCATCGAATCTAACGTCCATCTTTGACAGGACCGAGCCAGATAGGAAAGTCTGTGTAAAGTGTCAGCAAAGACTTGCAGCATACATTTGATGAGAAACACATTATACTCTTTATATGAGAGAGTTTTAGTTTGGTTTTTCGTAAGAGTTTTAAGGCACTTGCAACACAACTAGGTCATATAAGTGCTGTCGATTGGACTTGTTACTTTAGACAAACATGTAAAGAAAAGAAGGAGAGATAATGATGATAGATGTTTGATAGGGAAGGAGAAGCACACCATACCAGAGCACCTGCCAACCACCAATCTTCTATACTCCCCAACTTAATGAGAAAACTTTAAAGACAAAAAGACGGTAAATTCAACTTCTTCACAAAAAGAAACAAAAAATCCCACAAAAAGAAACAAAAAAGTAACTCTCTTCTCTCCTAATTATATATCTAAAAAAAAAGATCCATTACCTTCAGTTTCGTTTTCTTTTCTTTCTTTTCCCCTTTGTTTTCCTTAGCGGCAGACTTGGCACGCTTGGCCGGGGAAGGAGTCCCGTCTCTTTCGCTGTCCATCTCAACGTCGCCAGCGTCGTTCCCCCCACCAGCACCAGCCGCCGCGCCTTCGGAATCGATGTCACGCAGAGACATCTGGGCAACCTGCTTACGTGTGAACGACCTGGGGGAGTGGCGTTGGAGTTGGAGGAAAGAGCAGCACACCGACACAATGTTTTAGTTTTAGTAGAGGGTTTTACCACACTTGCAACTGCATAAGGTCATATGAGCACAACGGGGTGGTTGTCAACAGAAGTCTTTACAGGGAATCAGACTTACTCTGCTCACCTCTCTAGCCTCAACTATTAAGGCACCCTGGAAATAGTGGGTCACAAGAGAGTGACAAACATACAAAAGAAGCAGAGGAAAATGACGTTAGTAAGGATTAGGAAAGAAAAAGCAGCAGTTCCCTGTTGTAGTTCAGGCACAGTTATGAGCTTGACATTGATGAATCAGTCCATTTACAATTCTACTGTAACTGTGTAAGAACGAGAAATGTCCCCCCTTTGGGAATGGCCTAAAGACACTTCAGTCAGTAGCACCGCCTCGGTCTTATTGTCAGTTTGAGTAAAGATTTTAGTTTTAATAAGTAAAGAGTTTTACGGCACATGCAACACAAAAGGTCATATAAGTGCCGAAGATTAGAGGTGTTACAAGAGAGTAACAACCATAAAAAAGGAGGAGAGAAAAAGACGCTAGATGTTTGATAGGAAAGAAGAAGCAAACCACACCAGAGCACCCGCCAACCACCCACTTGAGTAAAGAGAAGCACATCGACACAATAACGGTCATATAGTGCATTAATTTTAATTTTAGTAGAGGTTTTACGGCGCTCGCAACTGCATAAGGTCATATGAGCGCCAGATGATTAGAGCTGTTACAAGAGAGTAACAAGCATAAAAAAGAAGGAGGGGAGATAAGGACGATAGACGTTTGATAGGAAAGAAGGAGCAAACCTCACCAGAGCACCCGCCAACCACCCACTTGAGTAAAGAAAAGCACATCCACACAGTGACGGTCATATAGTGCAGGGAAGAAGAGAGAAAGACAGGCAGAAACAACAGAGGGAAAGAAAAGAAGTGGGACCTTCCAGCTTACGCCTTCACAGACCTGGATCGAGAACAAAAAGGCCACAGAGACGGACAATCAGCACCGCAAGCTTTAGACAAGCTAGCTACAGGCACACACTCTATACAGCAATAAAACGCCACTGATACAAACTGTGGGAGAGAACAAGCCAAAGGCCAGTAAAGGAAGATATTCAGGTGAAGAAATGGAAATGGATTGGACACACCTTGAGGAGACCCCCGACAAGCATCATCAGGCAGGCTTTAACGTGGAACCCACAAGGAAAGCGTAAGAAGGGAAGACCAAAGATGACATGGAGGCGAGCGGTACAAGCAGAAATTGAAAAAGCAGGGACATCATGGAAACAGATAGAAAAGGATGCTCAGGACAGGCTTCGCTGGAGTAATGTTGTTGATGGCCTGTGCTCCACTGGGAGTTAAAAAGGGCAAGAGAGAGATACAAAAAATGGTCAATTCTTTGACATATCAACAGGCCTTGGGGCTCAAACTCAAATGGCTGCTAGATCGGGATAGAAAAGTTATGTAAAGTACTGTAAATTTGTATCTGCTTACGCATAAAAGACCCGAGACAGATAAGCTGAGTAGCAATTAGTTTACTAGCAAAGACAGAGCACTGGCTAGAGCAGTCCACATTCCAGCCACCCAGCGATCAACATTAGGAGGTATTTCCCCGAAATCCTCCCTGAAAATTAGAGTTTAGGGGGGGAATTGGAGTCTCCAGTACCCCAGTAGATTAACACAACATAACAAACCAAAAGAAGAAAATAAACGTGTGGAGCAAATAAACGTGTGCAAATAAACGTGTGTAGCAAATAAACGTGTATAGCAAATAAACGTGTATAGCAAATAAACGTGTATAGCAAATAAACGTGTATAGCAAATAAACGTGTGCAAATAAACGTGTATAGCAAATACAGGCAAATAAAAATGTGTATTTTTGTGTCATTTACGACAAATATCTCGACTTCAAGATATGCAGGAGCTTTTTTTATCATGAAAAGCAAGACAAATGAATAAGATTTAAAATGATACCAATAACCCCAAATGCCAAAAAAAACTGATGCCTTATTTCCAAGGTGTCAAGACATACACCTGAACAGCGTCAAACACACCGCCCCCCCACCTACACACCTGTCAGCAGCATCCGTCAAACACACC